CCCGGCGACATTTTGTTAATTTTTAAACGTTTCTTGTTATCAGCTAGCGGTTAAGTTGTACCCGTGCGGAAGTTTGCTAACAGCCACCGTTAGCTAGCAAGAAGCCAGCTGTTCGTGTGGAAGGTCGTGAAGTTCTGAGGTGATACTAGGTTGTAAAAGCTGATATTTTAACGTGTGACTGAGGACTGTGAGTTAGCGGTCAGGCTGTCTTTCCACCCCTTGTGACCGGTTGGATGTGGCGCAGCGGCGACATTGGCTAGCTTTTAGCCGCATGATGCCCTTCAGTGTTACATAAGAGCCGAGGTCTTCATAGCAAACAGCCGCACATTCATGCGAGTGATCTGAGAAACAGTCAACCGCACGCTGTTGCATAACACTGATGTTCTCGGTTGCCAACAGCCTCACATGCATGTTGTGGTAGTCAACACTCAGCTCAAGTGTGTTATTTATAAAGCCCGTATGATGATATTCAACACTGGCATATAACGTTGAGCTGGAGGACGTCCGCGTAATGTTAAGGTCACATTTAGGGACACTGGCTTTTGAATTAAATGACGCCATTTTACCCTTGAAGTTTTATAGCCAACATATGAAGCCAATCATCAAACACGTCTTGAATCAAACACAACCTGCCCAGCCTGCATAGTAAAAGATCTGTTTACCTTTTGTTGACATTAATAACAATAGTAAAAAAAAAAAGAGTTTCTAGAGCACTTTTCAGGGTTCTCAAAGGCACTTCACATGGAAAAAAAAGCTCATAGAAAACACTATGTTAGATATACTTCACAACACAATAACAAAGCATAACTCAGCACTGAAGCAGCAAACCAGCTCGTCTAGTACGACAGCCTTAGATTGATATCTGGGCAGTGTTTCAAACAACGTCAGTCATTAATGCACACAATGTAGGTTTACAAGTGTACTTTTTTTTTTTTCCTAAGGGCCTGCAGTGTTGCATCTATTTCCCCTCGTTTCTTATCTTTGTGTTCAGCGGTCATGGCCACAGCAAGTGAACGTCACATCATGTGTTTGTTTGTCGGATTGGTTTTGCAATGAGCAAAAATCAAGAGTTCAGTTTCTGCTCTGTACGATTTCCACGACCTGACAGAGGTGGACGGGTGACTGGTGATGAGTGAACCGACAATGAGGTCAGCTGTTACCTCTGCTGAGGTGTTTGACTCAGTCCTTCAGACAGTACAGCGGCTTAGTTTAATCTGTTCCAGACTTCTAAGCTTGTCGCTGACAAGGTTACACGCTTCATAAAGGATGCACCAGGGAGAGTTACATTGAACTAAATGAATTAATTGCGTGGAAATTGGGGAGAGCACGGTCTAAAAGTAGTCTTTCCTCAGGCACACAACCCCGTCCAAGTGCAATTAAAGCGTCTGAGTTGGAAAACCCTGTAAACCAGATGTGTTGGGTTAACTCAGAGTATTTCCGCTGCAGAGCAGGAGACCAGGCTTTGACCATAATTGTTCATTGCGCTTGGCCAGTGGCACTTCAGCTGTGTTATGATGGAAAACACTCTCCTCGGTTAAAGCTATAATGCGTAACCTTGTAAATGGTCACACCATACCAGTCTAAGCAGGTAGTACAGTTATCAAACAATACATGTTTTGACCAATGGCACATCACAGGCTGTTTGTTTAAACCTCTCCAGGCCCGAAGTTCTAATTTTCTACATGATTATTTTGCAGATGTAGTGGTACGGTGGGAGCCATCGTGACCTGCCCTCTGGAGGTGTTGAAGACACGGCTGCAGTCCTCTGGCCTGACCCTCCGGCCTGTCTTCCAGGTCCAGCTGGGCACCCTGAGTGGCACCGGGGTTATCCGACCAGGAACTGTGACACCTGGGCTGCTGCAGGTCTTAAGGTAAGGTGTTTGTTTGTGTTGTTGTAAGGCAAACAGTGCTGCAGCATGCTGTGCTGGTTGTCCCTTGAGATGTGTATTTTCCTAAATGCAAACACAGGGACAAAGTGTTCCTTCCTGACAGCTGGAGAACCTAATGTTTATCAGGGCTACTATGTAGGGAATGGCCTAATTGTTAGCAGGTGACTTGTTTCGTGTGTTGCACATGTTGACATAAAAATCTTAATTTTAAAATGAAAGTCTATTTTTAAAAAATTTTTTTGGTTTGGAATTGTTGTATCCAGTAACCAGTGCAGTTGTTGTTGTTATGTAGTCTGTGAGAATGTGAAAACATTTGGGAAAGCCTGTGATTTGCTTTCACAGTCTTAAAATGAAGGCCTTTAATCCTGCCGTACATAAAGTGAGGATTAAGTTCACAGTGTCCTGCTCACATTTAATGTCTTCACCCAGCTGTTTGGGCCGACACGGACCACGTTTTTCCCATCAGGCCTGATATGGATATGGAGATATGGATCAAATAAGCTTTTTATGGTGTCCACAAAAATAGCCGTTTGAAGAGTTTGCTTAGATTGTGGAAGACTAGAAGCCCCAGTAGGCAAACAAAGAACGAGGAAAGATTTAACTTGGGTGCTGCGTCAGTGTTATATTACACCTAGAGGAGTGAAGCCTTAAACTGAACCGGTCTAGACTGGTGTCAGCTGCAGCTGTAGGCTGTAAAAGTTCCATATGCCAAAAGACAACTTTTTTTCTTTTTCTTTTTTTTTTTTTTTTTAAATTTGACAAATATTTCTTTGTTAGTTCAGGTCTTATGCCAGTTTTTTAATTTATTTATCTATTTATTTTTAGATCAGTTAATACGAAAGAGTTTTTTTTAGAGCTGTTGAAAGGCTGCAAATCCTGAAAGAAATTAATAATAATATTGAAACTCTTTGTCCTGCCATTGAAACCTCAAGACTTTAAATGTTAAATGTAAAAAATGTTAGTGTCTTCAAACTCATCATTGTTTGAAAAGAGATGCTGAGTATCAGCGAGAGAGAAGGGAACGACATGATCCCTGCTTGACTGACGAGGTGTGCATTACAGAAACCTGCCCAAACTGCAGTTGTGGCCCCCCTCTTTGCTTGTCCCCTGTAAGGGCAGACTTTCATCTGGAGAATGAATTTGGCTTCCGACAAAGAGTTCAATGGCTCTGTGGGGATGTGGCTGACGTGACAAACTAAGCGCCACCGAGGTGACCGGGTTCGGTAGAGTAACTGCAAGACCAGCTCAAATGGTCAGGATTGGCATAGCACTTGGGATGATTGCTGAAGTGAGCTATCATATTCATTCCCCTTAATAGAGCCTGGAATAATCCTACACAGGTTTCTGCTGCAACAAATGTAGAGACAGTTTAACAAAAGTCCGTTTAATAAAAGTGTGTTGGATTGAAGCTGTGTTTAGTGGTTGACAGCTTTTTACTTTTATTTCAGATCAATTCTTGAAAAAGAAGGACCAAGATCTCTTTTCCGAGGACTGGGGCCGAACCTTGTTGGTGTGGCACCTTCAAGGTACAGTGGATTCAGTAATGAACCTTCACAGTTTGCATGTGGGTTGTCCATCTTCCCTTCACCTGTAAGCACACAAGCTGACAATAACACACACTTGGGTCTCAGACAATAAACAAAGCAGAGGCAAATAAGACCATGAAACAAGTTCATACGAGTGCTCAGTAGACTCTGGTGTTTTTGTGAACCTCAACACATCAGAGTCGTACAGAAAACAAAAAGGAGGAGACTGTTCTTGTATTTTTCTCTTTCAATGTTTGAAAGCATGAACTTGTTGTTCAAACAGTCACAGAGATACAGAGAGAAACTAGATGGTACTGGCTCTTTAACAAAAGTTCAATCTGATGTGAGTACACCTTCTGACGTTTCAGTTTCACCTTTGTTCTGCTTTTAGTGTCAACAAAAAGTCAGTACTTTGCCCCATTTTTTTCTCGTGGCTGATAGCCATGGGTGTAAACTCCACTATATAACCATAATATAACCGATCCTAAATGTTGTTTCGACTTTGAGATGCTGCTTAACTGACAACAGTTATGGGTTACATATAATTTCCCCTGTGGTTAATTAGTACTCGCTGGATTATTCTTTGTTCAGTATTCTACTAGCGCCCTGTTCCACTGGCCAACTTGGACAGGCTTAGATTGAAAGCAGCTCTGTGGGCATCTGTGTTGCCCAGTGCTTATTCAGCCCATTCTGGTGCAGTGACAGTCTGTTCCAGAAGCCAAGCAGAGAGAGTCGGCTCTGGGAAACAGATTGCTCTGGATACACTCTGTCAAAGACTCACACCAGCCAAATGGACTCATTGCATAACTCCAGTTATTATTAAACCACCGTTTGAAATTGCATTCGTATTTCAGCACTGTGTGCTAATCTATAGCTGACTCTGGTGCAGTTCTTAACTGTTTGTTTTCTGTGTTTCAGAGCCATTTACTTTGCTGCTTACTCAAAGTCTAAAGAGATGTTCAATGGGATGTTTGTCCCTAACAGTGGACTGGTGCACATGTCCTCTGCAGGTGCTGCAGGTGAGTCATCAGTTTATTAGCTTGTGTTGTACACATGTGATAAAGGGCAGTAAAATGAAATGCTATATTATCTGAAAAGCCTAACATGGCACTCTATATATTTTTGTTTGCAATGTTGTTAATACAACACTGTGCCAACATGAACCATTTTAGAGTCTATAAAATGAACATCACTGGCTTCAGGAAGGTCATATTTTCTGGCATGGCAGGTTTATCTGAGTGATGTCTGTGTGTGCATACTGTAATTTCCTTCAACATTGTTTTTACAACCTGTTTATGAGCTCGATGTAGGGATGATTATCTTATTTTACACTAAGTATGAAACTGAATCCTTGTTTTGTTCCTTGTCCTCAGCTTTTGTTACCAACTCTCTGATGAACCCCATCTGGATGGTCAAGACCAGAATGCAGCTGGAGAAAAAGTATGTACCCTGTTTAATTTTTAGCTCTAGACAGACAGGGGGAGGAATTCTGTTTTTGATCTGTGAAAAACAGGGTGACTTATTTCTGGATGTTGGCTTTCGGGAAGCTATTCTATATTACGTGACCTTTAAGAGAAACCTTTAAACTGACCCAACCTTTACGGGGCTGTCCTTGGGTTCTGCAGTGTGTGAGGCTGAGCTTGTGACCCAACTCCATAAATATACAGAGTGACGCACTGTCCTGCGTGCAGAAGAGGAATCTATATTTACATTACCAAGTACAGGGCAGTAGTATCATGTGAGGTCACACGAGGAAGTTTGTCCAGCCAGACTTGAAAGAACAAACCCTTGTCCTGCACCACAAAAAGGTGGATTTATGATTTAGAAGGAAGAGGAGTAAATAATTTGTAATCATGTTCACTTACGGTTAGACTAGTCGCTTATTCAACGCAATGAGGAAACAAAAGCTTCCTTATGGAGCTGAAAGCTGACGTACTGCTTAAACACTAAACATGAAATATCCTGTTTTCTACAATGATTTGAAGTGTTTATTGGCCCCTGGTGTCTTGTGACACAGATGAACAAAAAAAGATCGATGGTCATCAACAGTTGTAACAGGTGTTGGTTTATCCCCCCTCATCACGTGTGATCTTGTCACTCACGAGCCTGACATTTTGTCACTTTTCAGAGCCAGGGGCGAGAAGAAGATGAATGCACTGCAGTGTGCTCGATATGTTTACAAAATGGAGGGAGTCCGGGGCTTCTACCGCGGCCTGACTGCGTCGTACGCCGGCATCTCGGAGACCATGATTTGCTTCCTCATCTATGAGACGCTGAAGAAACAGCTGGCCAAGAGCCAGTTCGCCTCACCGAATGGAGAAAATGAGAAAGGAGCGTCGGACTTCCTGAGCCTGATGATGGCAGCTGCTTTTTCAAAGGGTTGTGCATCGTGCATAGCCTACCCACATGGTAAACACTTGAATCTATTGTTTGTCTCTTGCAATTAAACAACCGAATGTCTGGGAGGAGAGTTTGTGAATGGCTAACTTTTTAAATTCTCCTTGTGTGTCTCCACAGAGGTCATTCGGACGAGGCTGCGTGAGGAGGGCAGCAAGTACAAGTATTTCTTCCAGACGGGGAGGTTGATAGCGGTGGAGGAAGGCTATGCAGCTTTTTATAGAGGACTCATTCCACAGCTAATCAGGCAAATCCCCAACACAGCCATTGTCCTCTCATCGTATGAACTCATTGTCCATCTGCTGGGAGATTCCAAGTGAAGACATGTTTGAAAAGTTGGGATGTTCCCGACAAACAATAAATGCCACATAAAAAAAAACAACCCAAGACACACTGGGCAAGAGACTTTTGAAAACGCAGCACATGCATATTTTTGATGTGGTGCGACAGAGACTGTTGTGGTGGAACTGAAGCAGGTTGTACTGTTATCCAAAGAGCTAAACCTATTATTTTATTGAGCGCTTCTTAGGAGTTTATTTTAAAAAAACGCAAGCAGTCATGGTACTTACTGAAACTCCAAACCTGTGAAAAAGGTCATCTTCTTAGAGGACTAGTTTTAAGTTAACTAAATTATTTTTGTTTTGTTATTTCACGACAGTGTTTGTTTCCTTTTATCAGTGGTAAACGTTCCAGCACACGCGACTGGGCAGGTTGACTCGATTCATAAATGAAGGGATATATTTCAGAAGCAGTGCTAGCAATAGCGTTGTTCTTAGCGTTGTAAGGACTGCACAGACTATTTTGAGATTACTGTTGTACTCTGACAAATACAATCTGCTGGATTTGAAGTTTGAGTTACAGAGAAATTTATCATATTTTTCATTAATATATATATATATATATATATGAATACAGGCATATCTGTATGTTTTCTTTGTGAAAAAGATGGTCACCTTTTACAATATAATGACAGCTTGGATGCGTATTTGACCAGTGGCTCAATAAAGTGCATCGAAAAACGACATCCGTTGTTGTTTAACGCTGAAATAAGGATTCTGTTGTTGAGTGAGCACAAGAATAAAGCCCAGTGGTGACACGGCAAAGATAAATAACTTACAAATTGGGATATATGAGAATGAGTTTGCAGGTTCCAGCCAAATGTTCTGATGATCTGATTTAATTAGGACTCTAAAACTGCTAATGGCATCAAGACTTGGCTGGAAATACATGTGAAGGATGCTGGAAAACAGTGTCTTCAGTCACAGCTTTTGGAATATTTTACATTTTTCAGTGTCAGATAATCTGATGTCTGAAATGTGCAGCAAACACCCTGCTGTGTTTTCGTCTTTCACATAAAAAGCTGTTGAACATGTTTTTTTCCTTTTCAGTAAATAGACTGGGTCAAGTCCTCCACTGTCTCCACATATTGCTCCAATAAAGCAGATCATGTATGGTTTGATATTATTGGATCACAGTTGGGGTATTTGGGATTTTATGAACCTTAACAGAAAAAAAATCTAAAGTGAAAGCAAGTGTGCACACAAAGTACAAATAGGGCACAAGTACTACATCGCTAATCACCATTTTCAAGTGGAGGTGTGGCGATTACAGTGTGGAGTCAGTGTGTAATTTTGATCACGTTGCGTGTGGACTGAGTCAGAACACAAAGTCCTAACGGATAGAGGCCTACACTTCCATCTGGGGGCTTTAAGATTGTTTCGGAGCCTCTTTGGCTTCATGCTTTAGGGGGAGGGGATCACATGAGAGAAAAAAGGAGGAGGAAAACAAATAATTAGACACAGATCAGTGTGGTCAGAGCGTTTATTTCCTAGTCACTTGGTGTGTGAGACTCTTTGACCACAGACACGAGTCAGCAAAAACATCATCTTCCTGTTGAGTTTTTGGCTGATTCATCCACATTGTTCTGTTACGGGTAAGAACACACTCATGACCATAGTATTTTCAGCGGAATGACTGTCTCATGGAGCTGGGTGTGCCTCCTGTTGCTCCCACCCTCTAAGACGTACACTGGGTACCCCTTTTGACCAATCAAGGGTTTGCACATAGCACAAATTGTAGCTTTATGGTCATGGTCATGAGTCATGAACTATGTGGAAGAACGAACTGTATGTTCCAGTTCCGAAAGTCTGTCTTGATGCGCTTTCTGTTCCTCATTAGAAAAGTCTACACAGTTTAACTTCAGTGCACGGGTTAATGTTTGCTTTAATGACTTCACTCTTGTCAGCGCTGGCTGGATCTGAAAACAAGAAGTCGGAAAATGCAGACAAACCTGGTGGTGTGCAGTCGGGAAGACATCTGGCTGCTGGAGGCTGCACTACCTGCTGCCAGCAAGACACACCTGAGCTCTGACAGAACCAATGCTGATTGTGCTGTCTTGCTGGTAATTTTAGAACCGTGTTTATCACAAGAATAAGTAACAACTGGGTGAAAATGATAATATCTCTGCTTCTGCTGCACTGACAGACCTGATTTAGTGGCAGATAAGATAACTGAGCACAAGTGTAGCGTAGTGTTTGGCTCAGTTGTACGCATTATCCCAGGAAACTATGAGGCAAGCCGACACCCACAATACAGCAGCCGGAAACTGGCCGATTAAAAAAGAATGTATTTAAATCTGATCTGTTGTTGTTGGACGTTTCCTGCTATGACGAGCCAACATGACTGTAGAACAGGTCTTTGATTATTATTTTTTTTAAACTTTGCTCAGTGAGTCTGACGATATGCTAGGACTGCAATGTAAATAAATTGCTGGAGTATTTATTATTTTATAGCCCATCATGTTCATCATCACAAAGGGTTTCTTTTATTTTTTGGTAGTAATGAGGTAACTTTGAAAGTAGTCACATACAACTACAGCTGCAGTATCTCTACAG